CGCAGCGTATCCTCAAAATAGTCAAACTTCACGATAGCGATGTCAGTTGCTAGATTGCTACACTAGTATTGCCAAATCTTAAAATATAAAAGGCAACCCTCGTTGTAACCAGTGGAACAAACTAGCTCCAGTAATTAGGAAAATCACCGGGGCAAAATCCGAGAACAACAAAGCTTAAGCTCTGAAAAGTGATAGTAAGACTAGATAGGGCAAGAATTTCAGATATTATTTCTGATTTGTTGCAGGCAAACAGAGATTCGACAGATTTTCATGCATGTCCTAATCAGAGATGGGTTCTTCGCCGATCAGTGGTTATTCTCACATGAGGTATGGTTCTCATTGCTTCCACATTGATTTGTTTGGAGCAGCAGCCCAAATAGCTCCCCTCGTAACAGGCTGAGTATCCCTCTGAACTTTGCAAAGACGCGATCGAGTTTCTCTGTAGCGCTTCAAAAATGGACTGTAGCGGATCGAAGATATTTAATGATGACAGTAAGTTTGGTACTGTATGAATTTCACGCTCTTTGGCACGAAATAGGATACTCACTTCTATTCAGTTCATAATGTGTGTCCAGCGCTGAAGTATTTCGAGAGTCAAAACGATGTGCTTTGGTCTTGGAGACAAGTCATGAGGTGTGTAAACTTGATGTGCTCTCTCTCAATGTGCTATGAGTAATTAAGTGAAATATTCAGGTTTTTAGTCTTGCTTTCGACTACTAGGTGGGAAAACTTGTTACAGTGTTCTGACCACTTCAAAGATGACGTTTTTGCAAAGGTTTGGAATATTTCTTTGACTATATTCTTTAGAGCCTTACGCTGTTTTCAGTAGTAGTACCAATCATTCATTTCGGGTGTGTGAACTCGTAACTGGTTGAATCCCTTAACCCATTGACGACCATAGCATTTTGCAGGCAAAGCGCCGCGAGGGACCGGCGCGCTTTCAGTGCACTCGCGACTGCAGCAAATATGTAGACTTCATGGTCTAGCAAGACCATTTTTTGAAGAGTTCATGAGAGAAATTTATAGGTTTTTCGGAATGATCCTTCAAATGGGTTTGGTAAGAAAGCCCAAGATGAGTGATTATTGATCTTTATCGTATAACCAGCACTCATTCGAGTGTCCTTTCAGTTATGAGTTCAATCATTACCAGAAATCGATTCGGGGGAACTTTTGAGAGCTTTGCTTGCGGTCGATAACAGCGAAATTGCTAGTGGGGACTGCCTTTTCGAAATATCTCATTTTCTGAAGTT